ARWKTKYGYKWTRTSTCKSKKTWTWWTMYYCKCGSKRTAGYTCGTGGGAATGCAACTCCTTCTTGGACTAAAAGAAGAACTCTMAAGAACTCTCAAGAGATACAAAGTGCTTAAATCTGTTTTGTTTTCTTTCTCTGAATACACCTCTTTTACATCACGGGAAGGGGTCTACTGTGTACTATTATTTTCACCAGCATTTGTGTATTTTGTTTTAGGAGAAATTAGCTTCAAAGTTGCCAGAGACAACAGAACCTGCAATAAAAGAGGAGGAAGTACTTCATGAAAGTAATGAATGGGGTAAGTACTGGGCAGAAAATAGACACAAAAAAGTGAAAATAGTCCAGAATATTGCTTGGAATGCGTCTCGTCTTACCACTTATGTTTYAAAAGTGAGTCTCGCTATTTCGAATTTTTCCAAGAASAATCTTTCAATTCCCTCTTATTGCAATGTTGTAAGTCCTAAGAATGTCTCAAGTTGATATCATTCATCACTAGATTTTAGCTCCATCATCAATCCAAAGCTAAGCTATGCTATACTTAATAGAGAGTTAGTGGTGGTCCAGTGGTTATTGAGTTCCGTTCTGGCCGACAGGCCTCGGTTGAATTCCCGCGTTAGTTAGGGTTATTACTCGTGAGGACGCAAACTCCGAGATCCGCACCTTGGAGTTGATGCAAAGTTTTTATATTCCGCTCAGATAATAAGTGTTTATACGGCTTGTTACCTAACTGGAATGGATTTAGCGGGCTTAGCGGCTCTAGGGGAGATGGGATGGGCAAAAAGGGTTTGATAATTTCTCTTCAGTCTAATCTTGATAATCCGTCCCCCTTTCCCATAGTCGCCACGCAGGCTAGAGAGTACATTAAGCGATACAGTTGCTGCAATAGTTTCATTCTATCAAATRTTTAGGTATATCGCTGGTCAGTGAGAGTATAGGTGATGAAGAAAACGAAGAAGTCCCGCCTAATTTAGTAGAGGGTGTCAAAYTGGCGTATTCAAAACCAAAAGCAGCTAGAAARGTGAGTGTTTGTTCTTGTTGTCAGTTTTGAAGGAGGCTTGCATTATTTATGACTCTGAATTTCCAAGGCGTGGTAAAAACCTTGTTTTATTTCCTTTTATTTTGTTTATAAGCAGATTTCTGAAGAAATAAGCAGCGAAGGACAGATCTCCGCCGATAACGACGAGATGTCTGTAGAAGATCTGATGAAAAAACTCAAAGATATTTAATGCAATTCCAATCAGAGTTAATAATTTWAAACTCTGTTCCGGTAAATGTTGATTGTTGGACAAATTGACAATTTTYCCATGCATCATGGCATGCAGCGCATCATTACTGAGTCTCGTTTTAAATTCATGATGTCCTTGATAGCAAGAAATTATTAGGATATATATATKGTATTTGTGTTCTTATGCAGCCTTCGTCCAAGTTAACATTGAAATCGTTTCTACTGCCTATCCATTCCATTATAACTATTACCCGAAGAACCATTTCAACCCCCGCTACACACAACCTCTGTACAAGTGCATAAAATGTCACTTTCGAGACAGAATGGAATTCCGCATGTAAGTGTGGCTGTTCAAACCAACAAAGCTTTATCTGAAATAGTAATATAGAATATAAATTTTACTAAAGAAGTTTATAGAGTGAGCCCATCTATTTCCATTCCAAAGGGAGAGTGATGTTGAGGATAGCTATGTTCTTAAAAAACTAATCGAAATTTTCCGCTGTGACGGAACTTGGAAAAATGCCTCTTCCTTGAGGTAATTTCTAACGATATTATATCTAAATATATCTGTTTGTTCTAGTTATTACATGTATATTTATAGAAACAAATCGACCAGCTGAATTTTTAGAGGAATTAAGATGTACTCCCAGGTTAAAGCAACAGAGTTGCTAAATACTTCCGAAAAATTAAGTGGCTGTGTTTTGAATTCTAAAGAAATATTTAAGTTAATGCTTAAAAAATATATTATAAAGATAAACATACACGTTTAAATTAAAAATAAAGTGAAATTATTGCAATCTAGTTGTAGTCTGAGTTGTCTCAATATTTAAGATGTCGCCCATTTCTTTAAATGTTCCCGCCGAAAAATAAAAAGCTAGTGCGTCGCGCGCGCGCTGACTGGAAACAAGTGTAGCCAGTGTAGCCACTGATTGGTTAGATAGGACACGTGACCTCSAGCCCGCGAAATTCTCAAATAACAATATCTAATATGGCAGCGAGCACGAAATTTCAGCTAAGAAAATAGACAAATTAAATAGAAATTCTTCAGAATTCGCAGCTAAAAGGTTGTCTCGCGAACAAAATAGAGGCTTTGTCATGAAATAGCCAACAGAAACATCGAAATATGWGACGAAGATCGTACAGCGCCTCGGCGGTTCGTCGATGGCTTCGCATGATTGAATTTTATTCGCTTTGTTGGTCTGGTCGATCTTTGTGTGCATTATGTTATGCTTTCCTAGACAATCATGCTATGATGAATTTCGATCGAGCAACCACTAGCAGGTACGATAATTTAAGTTTATTCTAGCTGAACGAGTGACAATCATCTCCATTCGAGTATAGGGGGCTGGGGTGGCTCTACATTTGGCATTTGGCTAGGAGCAACTGGGATTTTTTCCATTTTGTAGCAGAAGATTTTGATTTTCATTGGTAGACTGAAAATGATTTTAGGCAAGGCTTATTGGCTTAAATGTGCCCTAAGAATCACGCTCTCTCAAGGGAATTGACATGGGGRAGAGCCAAATACCATCCCCCGTCCAGAGAGCCTTAAGGTGCCTTGTRCATTGGTTATCCTTCTGGGCCAAGTTGTTCAAAGCCTGATTAGCTCGAATCCTGGGTTAACATTTAGAAAATCTATGGAGATAACCCTGGATTTATGCCAATGGTACTGTGAACAACCCAGCACTGGGCTGGATTGTTCAAAGCCAGATTAACATTAATCCAGGGTTAACTCCATAGGTTTTCTAAGAGTTAACCCAGGATTAACACTAATCAGGCTTTGATCTACCGGCTCYTGGGKGGTGGGTATGCAGTTTTCTATKTCYTATTTGTACTTCAATTGGCTTATTGAAATGATATTATTATACTGCATAAGTTATTTTCTTTTTGATCGGGTTCKTTTGGACCTTGAAAAGACATGATTGAGTGGATCAGGGTGACAAACTATAAGGTTTTGTCACTAGAACTAGAAATTTTCATTGTTGTTTTTCTTAATGGTATTCATCCAATTGAAGGAAGGTCATGTTTACAACCAGGGATGTTGGAGATGGCTATAGCCAACCCCTTAACCCGGCCCTCGCCCTTCCCCTCCCCAATAATATATGACTTATAGTTTCCCCATACCCCCATTCAGCAATCCTCTGATGTCYCTGATGGCTATGATGATAGCGCTTGCTGAAAATATTGGTTGGATCTAAAGACATTAATAAAGGCATGTACTAAGGCAATTATGTCTCCTAATACACAAGATAGAAAGGTAATCTCTCCTCGGCTTTTGTCCTTCATCTCCCTCTCTGATTATAAAATAATGAGCAGTCTCTAATTTTAACAGTTAAAACTGTTCTTAAAATTCCAGTGCAAGTGGAAATAACCTTGTTTCCTAGGATAGAAAACAGTGATCAGAATAACCAATCAGCTTGCACATAGATTTGTGGTCCATGAAATKTATCCTCCTCAGCAGACATTTCTTTCTMCTTTTTTCAGCTGTTATATATTTCAATTTCCTGTTKAAAAARTAGGGAAGAGAGGGGATTGAGGAGAAAAAACCCGGCTTTMCATCCTCGTTACTAGTCACGCTGTCTCTTACATCAAARGGAGGAACACAGATATTCCAGAGGTCACGTCCCCCTATAGATTTTGGCAACGGAACTCACTGCATGTAGGCTATTCACTGATACCATTTCGTAAAATGGGTGGTATAGTCAGTTTTTATACCGATTTCAATCTGGCCTTCGTGCAGGCGTTCCTCGTTGGGGGCGTTTCCTCTAGGAACGCCTGCACGCAGGCTAATTTCAATCAGTTTTGCTGATATTTGCAATTTACCCCCTGAACGATGTTTTAAAAAGCGTAGAGTACTTACTATAACATACTGTATAGGGCAAGATTACAAAATCGTGTCGCTCAACACCAAGCCGTTTCAGGCTAGGCAAATCTTAAGGTACAGTACTGGTGAACTCAATCTGAAACAATGAAAACCACTTGTAGAGTGATGMCATGAGGATCAACAATGTATTTCGGTATTGTAACACWTTATCTGTTCACAACGTTTCTTGAACGAAATAGCTGTGTTGAGCAAGTGMGTTTKSCC